TATGGATGACTTTCCATTGACATGCTCTTGCAGCAGCCATTAGTACTGTCAATCCTTGAGTTGTGATCCGTGATGTCCATAATTTTGTGTTCAGCCCAACCAAATTTCTAGCACTTTTCCAATCACCTCTTTCTGCTGCTTGGTACAAAAGTAGGTGGTAGTTTTGACTAACTGATCCCATCAGTACTGTTAACAAGTTGTACCCATAACTTAGAGAGAAGAGATAGAAATAGACAATTAATGGCTTTGAAATCTATTTCTATGCATGTAAAAATAACTACTTACAGACTTCTGATAATAATGGTGATGCTTCCCCTTTATTGAAGTGATAATGAGCTTCCATATCATGATCCTGTGAGCTTCCAACATTATACTCTTTATGTGCATTTGGTGGCAAATGTGGATAAACATCTAATGGCGATGCTACTGTGTACTCTTTGTATGCCATTAAGTTTGTTTATGGCACAGAGTTTAGAAGACTGTTAAAGCCTCTGGAATATATAGTTGATGAATATAAAATAAACTAATGGTGGCCAAATCTTCACATAAGAATAAGACTGGTGAGAGACAAAAAGTAGGGTATAGAGTTGGAAAAATCGTCTTGAAAAGTCTGTAGATAATAAACATAATTGGGCATTTCATGAGAATTGTACACGCAGATACTTTGTTTAACAATTGTTGATGCTGGATTTTGACACCAACTCATGCGTATAAAGTGCTAAGTGGACTTAAAAATCATACGTGGTATGGAAGTATAAAAAGAGATGTTGAATGGGTAGCAATTTTTAAAGTGGTTCGAATGCTCTAAGGCGAATCCTACGTCCACTGTGATTATATTAATGAGGGATTACAATCAGGTTGCACTCGGCGAGCTAGACTACAATAGAGAAAATAAATGTAGGGAGAGAGAGCGAGAATATATGCTTTGAGCAGTGGATAAGCCAATCTCGTAAAATAGAGGAGAGCCCTCTATTTATAGTTGGAGGATTCAAACTGGTAATCATGATTCTGCGTGCGAGTAGGTATGGTACAATTCCTAACCTGCTTCCCATTGGTTGTTTGCATGAGAAATATCTTTAAATCGCGTAAGGCCTCAGCAGGTGGACAATTCCTAGCCACTCATAAGTCTGATGTTCGACTGCCTCACTGACGATGGCCTTACCCCTCTCGTCCTTGCGGGACATGACTGCATCCAGAATTCAGAAAACCTTCTTGAATTCTGATTGGTCTTTGCTGATTTAAGCTCACGTCAACCTGGTTTTTTGGGCATAATAGAAGCCCTCCAGTTTTTAAGGTTTAAGTATTGAACCTTGAGAACTTCACGATTATGACGCGAGTCAGTATGTCCTAGATAACGCTTGATCGAGTCGATCGAGCTGTATGGATCCTTGAGAACTACANTCCAAACCATCTGTTATTCCCATGGAACCCAATTTAAAGTTCACTTCAGCAGTATATGATAATCAATTTTCCACTGATAGTGTTGGTAATGATCCTTTGTTAACTGATCCTGCTGTTTATCAAAGATTGGTTGGGAAACTCTTGTACTTGTGCATGACCAGGCCTGATCTTAGCTACTTAGTTAGTATCCTAAGCCAGTTTATGCATCAACCTAAAGAATCTCACATGACAGCGGCCCTTAAGGTGGTGAAATATGTGAAATCTGCTCCAGGGTTGGGACTTTTTTTTTCCTGATGTGAATGCTTTGTCTTTAACAGCCTACACTGACTCTGATTGGGGTTCTTGTTTGATGACAAGGAAGTCTATCACTGGATTTTGTATATTTCTTGGTTCTTCACTAATCTCCTGGAAATCTAAACGTCAAGCCACTATTCCCAAGTCTTCTTCCGAGGCAGAATATAGGGCTATGGCATCCACGGTATGTGAAGTAATTTGGATAGTTCAGCTATTAAAAGAACTTGGTTTTTCCAATATACTCCCTGTTACTCTTCATTGTGACAACCAAGCAGCTAATCACATTGCTTCCAATCCGATGTTCCATGAGAGGACTAAACACATTGACATTGATTGTCATATAGTCCGGGAGCAACTCAAGAATGGACTGATTAGCACTGCTTATATTTCTTCATCAGAACAGTCGGTTGACATCCTTACCAAAGCTCTTGGCAAGAGTCTTCATTATCACATGCTACACAAGTTGGGTGTGCTTGATCTTTACCACCCTCCAACTTGAGGGGGGGTATTAGAGGAATAGGGGTATAATAGTCAAATCAAGTTGTAATATTGTAATTACTTTATTTTATTAGTTAATCAGTTTGGCTACTGCACTCTAGGTCATACTAGCTTAGTTGACTAAGTTTGTATACAAAGGAAAACAGTGCATTCAATAAAGGTGTGAGTATTTTTTCCCCAAAACTCATCTCTGCGTCAATATCAGCTTCTGCAATAGGTTCAAGATAACACAAGTGAATTTGTGGCTGCTAAATAATTTATTTATTTTTATTACAATGAATGGCCCACTGACGTCATCCTTACTGTATCATTATTAAATTATTTCAAGGCTGGCTAACATTTTCAATCCCACAAAAAAAAAAAAAAAAAACTGTTCCTTAAATTTTGAATTGACACCAAAATATTAGTTTTACCGTTACAAACCTTTCTTAGATTGCGAACAAAAAAAAATTCAACTGAACAAGAACAAAAAAATACATATTTTATTTAACAAAAATGGCTCTGGTGGTGGTGGCCGCTATCTGGTGGCCAATCGTTCACGCACGCTCAAGGCCCGGTCCATGATGGCCACCTAGATTGCGACTTTGCTATTCTATTTTCATCTTCCTACTCTTTTTTCTGATTTGAACACTTAGATCGTGCTTGACTGGTCGCTTGTTCATGCGTTATTTCAAACTTTATTTTTTTTTTTTTTNAATATTATAGCATATATCAATTTTGATGGGGTCAGGTTTTTTTTTTTTAATTTTAAGTTTTATGGAATGAATAAGATTATACAGCCATGAAATATTAATTATCAAAATAAAGAGAATTTATTGATTAACTAAATTAAAGTCAATGCAATCCAGATAGTAAAACAACATGTTCAATCAGTTTCCTTATTCATATAAACACTACTTAGAACCTTTCTCTTCTTCGTCATATATCTCTCAGTTCTATTATCTTCCTCCATTGTCGATCTCTCTTCGTACTTCAATTTTCTCCCACTTCATGAAGATGGGTTCACTTAAAACAATTATTTTGGAGATCAATCCTGTGTCAGCTCAATAGCTAGTAGAGAAGAAATCATCAAGGATCAAAACCTATGTAGTGGCTTATATCGATTCTAAACACAAGCTTTCTTCAAGGGTTGACAAACTTGGTGAAGAAGAAAAAAAGAAAATAAAGGCTTCAGAAAAATTCTGTTGTGTTCAATTCTCAATTCAGCATTTTCTTAATTGGTTTAGTTTTAATAATAAATTTTTTTTTTTTTTTTTTTTTTGGTTGATTCAGAATTATTAACACCTGCATCTTGCATGGTGTTTGAGATTTACCAAATTCGAAGATTCAAGAAGGACAAAAAGAATTGGTGTTGAAAATATTTTGCTTGAAGATCTGATGCTTAAGAGTTGCTGCTGCAGTGAGGGTTTTGGACAAAGATTCATGGCGTTTCATGTACGGAGACCTTCTGATATTCCTCGTGGGATATTGAACATGGGAGTGGTGAGTTTGGAGGGTGACTTCAAAGAAAAATTGTTAAAATTTCTTGATTATAAAACCACTCTTGATCATAGAAGCCTACTAAGTGTTCGTTATTAGAATTAAATTTGGAGGTTTTCGTGGCTACAAGTTCAATTTTCTTAGCAGAGTTTGAAGATTTCTTTTAATTTAATTTAAGAATTGTTGTAAAAATTCATCTTAAGTTTTCGGTTTATGAGAGTGTATATATATATGAGTGATCAATCTTTCAGGAATTGATTCCTCTATATTCTCTAATTAGTTAAATTGAAAAGAAGAAATGATACATTTTTAAGTCTTCTAAATCTCCAAAATCTACAAGATTGGCAAACCAGATGGTTGAATAAGGAAAAACATTGAAGAACAACACCGGACAACTTATGGCTACTGATCTCTTGTCAGAGAACGGCCCACTTGAAAAAACGTGGAGGTTAAGGCCGACGAATTTATGGCTACCGAAAACCTGCAGGAGGACGGTGGCTTAGACGGAGAACAACGGTAGTCTGATCAAATGACGATCCCACAAAGAAGAGAGACAGAGAAAGTGAGGAAGGAAAACAACGGCAGTATGACAAAATGATAATCTACAAATAAGAGAGACAAAATGTCAAATTTAATTTAAATTGACTAAATGAAAATATAGTATAAAACTAAGGATTAAAATAAAATAAATTTTAGGATTCAACTAAAATAAAACCAGAAAGACTGTGGCCAACCTTTTGGGATTGTTTTCCGTGAAAAGCCGAAGAAATTTGCAGGGGGGAAATTAGATTGGAAATTTTTGAGTTAGGATGACCAGAAAAGCAACAGATCGCAATCTGAATCAACCAAACTGATGATGAACATTTGTTTTTCCTTTGTCATAAAACAAAAAAGACAAGATTTGTTCTAAGAAATACAAATCGGAAAATACAGAATGAATATGAGTTCAATTTATCCTCCATTAACAAGATTGAAAACAGTTGAGTTTCACATGGCATGAATAGAGAACTCATAAATTCATTATTTAAAAGTTTAAACGTTTAGCTTGATTTTATGTTTGTTGGTTGGGAAAATGGGGAGGCTGAAGCTGGGTTAATCGGAAAACGGAAGTTGAGACGGCAGTGGAGGTGGTGACCGGAAAAGAGCCTCATGAGTGATGGAGATGGTGACGGTGATAGAGGCGATGTAGAAGGAAGAGGCCATAACTAATTACATGGATTTGGTAAAACTCTTGGTACATTTAGGATAATAATTTTCAATATATCAGTAACAGTTGCCCCATGAACAATTTTGCAACGGATCAACAAAGCACAATCAAATTTCTTAAATTACGATATAGAGACTCCCATTATTAACCCCGTCGCAAAGGTAACAAAGAAATGAAGTAATCCTCCGTAAGCCAGTCCTTTAGAAGACTCTGATGATTTCTGTGGGTGAACATAAGGTGGAAGAGAAGCATCCGCAGGAACCTGATTAGAGTCATCCACCGGAGGAGCCTGCTGATCATATTGTTCAGTCGGAGGAGCTGATGTCGGTTGCGGCCGCGGAGCTTCTAGAGGTGCAGCCACAACAGCAGGACTTGAATTGTTGGAGAAAGCAGGAAGAGATGTGTTATTATCTTCAAATTGTAACACACCATCTATGCCATGGCATCGAATCGAAGAGCCTGCAGTACAAATATTAGGACTAATGAGTTTCACATTGTTGAGAAAATAATTCCTCCTCCCACCATTGGAAATATTGAGCATGTACTCTGGAAATGAACTTGGAATCAATGAGCCTGATGGGATACGTTGAAGATGCTCAAAAAGCAAAACCGATGAGATCGAATGGTGAAGCAAGAAATCAGAGACGGATTCCTGAATCATATTGGTTTTGGCCAAAGCTCTGTCATTAGGCATGAAGAAAGTGACATTTTCTAAGATTTTTTGATCAAGTTGAGACATCTTAAGGAGCATGACAAAGGTGAAGTAGTTAGCCCTTTGCATCTCTTCCGTGGCGACGAGAAGGTTTTGATTGTTCGCCGGAGAAGAAGTGTTTGTGGGTGTGGCTGCAGATGAAAATAGTGGAGCCATTGTCAGGAAAATTAACAGGAGGATCATGTTATTAGCCATTTGTGGTAAATTTTTCTGTCTAAATCTTTTGATGTTGTTATTTTGGAGAAGTTTGACTGGTTTTTGTATTTTGAGACTAAAAGGGGTTAGATTGGGCATGCGTATTTGCTGCTTCAACAACTGATGAGTTCACACTTCCTGGACGTTTAATAAAAATTTGGGGTATTTGAGGATTTTTGATCTACTGTCACCAAATTAACTCCTACCAAAATGTAAGTTCAGGGATTATGAATAATTAAATACCGAGACAAAGAAAATTAGACATCGGTTCAGTCAAATGCAACATCAAATTTAGGTGAAAGGGTAAAATTAGGATTTTTTAGATATAGGATACTTAGGGGAAAAAAGAGTCTTTAAAACCGGTTTCTGAAAATGGCTAAATCAATAACTGGATCGAAAAATCGATTCAGTCATTTTTCCTAACCGAAACGAAACCGGTTTTCCAATTTGGTTTTGGTTCGGTTTTTAAATTTTTTTTTTTCACGCCTGTAATATCATCTGCATTGTAAGTGATTATCTCGTGCATCTATGTTGAATTTTGTTATTTTTATCGTTTTTGTAATTAAGATTATGATTAGATTGGGAAAGTGGTAAGAACTTTAGAAATTTGTTAAGGGCAAGGAGAGCAACGGATCACTTTAGACCATAAAAACCTAAAAATGCTAAAATTATGCATGATAATAAATATGAAGACATATTGCAATAGCCATGATATCCACGATATTGCAGTACACAAGTCTTTGATTATTATATCAGCGGTAAATTAATACAAATGTTAGTTGAGTAATAACTACAGTATTCATATTACTTATAAATTGATTGTAAAGGGAGAGAAGAGGACCAGGTCTTATTTTTTACTGTCAACTGAAAGTGCGCTTAGATGAGCACCAACTGAAAGGCCTCTATGAGATTGCTGGGTCTGTATCATTCATGTGATGAACTACTCTAACAATGTGGCTTCCACTTAATTCTCTCTGGGTTTTTAATCTACCTTTTGGCCATGGCGGATGTTTTCTTAGATGAAGTAACTGCAGTGGTCAACCCCAACCCGCCATTGACATCCGAACAACTTCTCAACCGAAAACCTTCGCATCTATTGTCAAAAGCTTCCAAGACCTTGGCGTCAATCTCAATCAACTGCCAACCCCTACCTTTAAAGAAGATGTTGTCTGTGAGATTAATGAAGAGATTTATCAACAATAATTGGCTAAATGCAAAACCGGTCTCCCTGGACGTCTCATTTTACGCAAGGGATCACAACCCTTGTAGCTTGAACAATTACGCCTTTCTCTCCAATCCCTTTGGAATCCTTTAAAAGACTGGCATATTATGCCATCATATTTGCTTTTCTTCTGAAGAGGATCAACGTAGAGTGTGGGGAGGAGGAACTACTCTTCTACAAGGATTATTTCGTTTATCAGAATGGCAACCAGATTTTAACCCTTACTCAACCCAAATTCAGACGCACTCTCAAGTTTGGATCAGACTTTACGGGATTAGTGCTGAATATTGGCATCCACGTTTATTAATGGAGATGGCTTCAGGGGTAGAAACTCCTTAGCAGTTGGATCGTATGATCAAGGAAGGCAGGTTCGGTTTTTATGCACGAGTCCTTGTTGATATCGACCTTTCTCATGTAAAGAAGGAAAAATAATATTTGCCTTTGAATGATTTTATTGAATTAGAAGACGTAGGTTTATACAAGAGATTTCTTACAATCATGCTAATCTATTCTAGGTAGTCTAAGTATAATAGGCAACTAAACAAATATACAACTAATATAATATATTTGTCAATGAACCGCCAGATATCATTGACCTTCCGTTCTCAACATTCCCCCTCAAGTTGGAGAGTGAATGTCAAGAACTCCCAACTTGCGTATCATAGTTGAGAAAGCTTCCTTTCCCAATGGCTTGGTGAACACATCTGCAAGTTGATTTGTTGAGGTAATATGTTTGGTTACAACTGAACCATCTTGTATTTTGTCAAAAATAAAATGGCAATCTATCTCTATGTGTCTGGTTCTTTACCTATGAAAACGGGATGAACAACTATCTATATGTAAGGCGGCTGTGTTATCGCAATATAACAATGCTGGCTTCGGATGCAATATTCTCAAATCTTTCAATAATGAGCGCAGCTAAGATAATTCACAGCATGTAGCTGTCATGGCTCTATATTCGGCTTTTGCTGAGGAGAGAGATATAGTTTTCTGCCTCTTTGTCCGCCAGGAAATAAGAGAAGATCCTAGAAAAACACAATAACCCATAGTGGATCTACGAGATATTGGATAACCAACCCAATCCGAATCAGAAAAAGCTCGCAAAGATAAATTATTTTGAGAAAGGAAAAACAAACCTTGTCCTAAACTGCTTTTCAAATAACGCAATACATGCAAGGCAGCTTCCATGTGTGGTCTCAGTGGTGCATGCATGAATCTACTTAACACATGGACCGAATGGGTGATATCCGGCCGAGTAATAGTCAAATAAATTAGGTGTCCAACAAGTCGCCTATATTGAGACAGATCTTTAAGCAATTCACTTGAATCCGAGAGCTTTATGTTTTGTTCCATGGGAAAGTTCATAGGTTTAGCACCCAAAAATCCTCCATCTTTTAAAATTTTCAAAGTATATTTTCGTTGTGAGATGGAAATACCTTTCTTCGACCGAGAAACTTCGATACCCAGGAAATATTTCAAATCACCCAATTCTTTAATCTGAAAATGACTATGTAGAAATTGCTTGAGAGCTAATATGGCATTGACATCATTACCTGTAATAAGAATGTCATCAACATATATCAACAAAGCTGTAAAAGATTTGCCTTTCTGATATGTGAATAACGAGTAATCTGCTTTGGATTGAACAAAGCCAGCAGCTTGGATAGCTGTAGAGAACTTGGCAAGCCATTGTCGGGAAGCTTGCTTTAAGCCATATAATGACTTGTGAAGGCGACACACTAGATTCTCCCTCTGTCACCGAAGACCAGGAGGTGGAGACATATAAATTTCTTCATGGAGATCGCCATGAAGAAAAGCGTTGTTCACATTAAGTTGGTGAAGAGACCAATTTTGGGCAGTTGCTAAAGCCAATAAACAACGAACAGTAATTATTTTAGCAGTGGGAGAAAAAGTGTTATGGTAATCTGTACCTTCCAGCTGTGTGTAACCTTTTGCAACCAAACGAGCTTTGAAGCGCTCAATAGTACCATCCGAGTGCCGTTTGATTTTATAAACCCAAAGACAACCAATAGGCTTCTTACCAAGAGGAAGAGAAGTGAGGGACCAAGTGTGGTTAGCTTCTAAAGCAGCCAATTCAGATTGCATTGCTTCTTGCCAATGTGAATGAGAAGCTGTTTTGGGATAAGATGTAGGCTCAATATCATGACTGATAGCAGCAGTAAAAGAGCAATGATGTGGTGAGTAATGATGATAAGAGACAAAATTGCAAATGGGATATCACGTACCTTTTTGTGGACTTGATGAAAAAGGCGGCAAATGGTTGGGAGACGTTACTTGGTTGCATACATAATCACATAAAACTATGGGAGCGTGATGAGGTCTTTGAGAGCGGCGTAAAATGGGTTCGGGAGGAGGACTAGCAAGTAATGGCTGAGGAGAAGCTGCATTTGGTGGTGAGGGTTGTTGGGCAGGAGAAATTGGTTCTGATAGTGAGGGTTGTTGGACTGGTGGGGAAGGATCGAATACAGAAAGAGGAATCATAGGGGTTGAATTTGAGGAAGTGGATGGAATTGACTCATATGGAAAAATAGTTTCATGAAAAACAACATCACGGCTAGTGAACATTTGGTGGGTGGCAAGGTCATAGAGCTTGTAAGCTTTCTGACCAACTAGATAGCTAAGAAAAATACATCGTTTGGCTCGAGGAGCGAATTTATGGGGGACGTGCACATCAGTAGCATAGGCAAGACATCCAAAAACTCGAATATGAGAATAAGAAAGAAGCTTACCATAAAGTCGTTCAAAAGGTGTTTGGTGATAAAGGAGTGGTGTGGGCAAACAAATGATTATATGAACAACAGTAGAAACACATTCTGCCCAAAAATGTAAAGGAAGGTGGGCTTGAAAACGAAAAGCTCTAGCGGACTCAAGAATATGGCGGTGCTTGCGCTTTACAACCCTATTTGTTGAGGAGTATATAGACACAAGAATGTTGGTAAGTGGTCCCTTTTTGTTTAAAAAATTCCCTCATAGAGAAGAATTCTCCACCATTATCAACCCAAATGTTAGCTATAAAAACATAGAATTGTGTTTGGACAAATGAGAAAAACATTGACAAGTAAATGTTGTGTTTCACTTTTGTGATGCGTAAAATATACCCATGTGAATCTAGAATGATCATCCACAATAGTCAAAAAATATTTCGCACCAGAAAAAGAGGCAATTTTATAGGGGCCCCAAATGTCACAATGAATTAATTCAAAAGGTCTAACAGACGAAATTTAACTAATAGAAAATGAAGTTGACTTTGTTTTGCAAGTGCACAAACATCACAAGCATTTTTAGACTGAAAAGGGAAATTTAACAAATGTTTTGTCATAAAATCTAACCTAGAGGAAGACAAATGCCCTAATCGGTGATGCCACAAAGCGGTGGAGGAGGTGACCTGAGGACTTTGTGAATGACAAGAAGTGGCTGCTGCGGATGGAGTTTGAGGTTTTGGCTTCTCTAACGCTAACACAACCAAGTAATAAAATCCGTTTGGTTGTTCACCCAAACCAATCGTCGTCCTCGTCGTCAAGTCTTGCAAAATGCACCAATGAGGGAAAAAGGTTACTGAACAATTGAGATCTTTGGTAACTCGACTCACAGACATTAAATCCACCTTAAAACATGGCACACCAAGTACATTTTTTAAAGTAACATCAAAATTCAAAGGTAAATTCCCAATGGATGTAATAAGAGCCTGTTCTCCACTTGGCATAGCAACTAGTGGCAA